AGTATATTATTAAGATGGTTATTAGTTGTGAAAAAATAGAATGTATTCGATTAATGGTTGATTGTGAAATAGAAAAAAAAAAAAAAGCATGTAATACAAAGAAGAAGCCAATAATAAAAAATAAGGTAAAAAAAGACTAGATTAAGTGGTGAAAAGCTTGAATATAAAAAGCATGTCTTCGTTGAGTTTGAATACAAGAAAAACATTTTTCTTGGATTTTTCTGGTAATTTTATCTGTGAGATTTCAACATCTTTTAATGAAATTGATATTAGAGTGATTGAGTTTGAATATAAAAAAAATGTCTTCCTTAGTTTTTTCTTGTAATATTAGCCATGGAGTTTTAACATTTTTAATGAGATTGGTATTACAGTGATTGAGTTTGATCGTAAGAAGAATTTTTGTTTGGGTTCTTTTTGTTATTTTACTCATGAGATAACAACATTTTTTTTTACCATAAGTGGTGTCTTTTTTTTTTAATGTTGAATTAGATTGCAATATATTTCTTCAAAAAATAAAAGTTGCAATATATAATTAAAACTTTTCTCCCAAACAATAAAATGAACTATTTTTTTGTATATATTTGTAGTAAAACCTAGTTTTAGTTATCCAGTTAAATGGTTTTTTTTAATAATGAAAACGATATAGTTTTGACTTAATGTGTTTTGGAGAAAAAACTTTTAATCATAATATGACACATCAAGATAATATATTGATTAATTAAAATCATATTGATTATCATAAACTTTTAAAACTTTTCGCTTGGACTTTTCTTTTAATAAGATAATATATAGATTAGTTAAAATCATATTAATAACATATTGCAATGTTCTGCTGTTCCTTTTAATCCGTTATTTGGTTCTAATGTTTTGAAACTCTATAATTGTACAAGCAGTAAAACATCTATAAAGTAATACCCTTAGTACTTCTAAATTTATTAATTTATATATTTTATTTAATGGATAAATTAATAATTAATAGTTTCTTAATATATGAATAACTCATCTATTTAGTAAGATGTTATTTTAAATGACTAAATAAAGTTCCAGAACGGTACATGGGAAACCCAAATGTCTTAACAAAGTTTGAGTTATTTTTTTTTTTTAGCCGCACCAATTGGTGCTTTCGAGGTAAGTATCTAGACTATCACAACAGGAATAGAGCTTATTGGGAAAGAAAATAGTACTACTAAGGGAGACTTTACTTGTGTGCGTCTCTTGCTCGATGTGTCTGGTCCTCCATGACCAATGATGACAACTAAATGCTGGTCAGTTACTTACTTTCTTTTTCAATTGCATACTTTCGAAGTTCGCAGTAAGAGTCAAACCCTCAATCTCGCGGTTAAAAGTATAACACCTTAACCACCAAAGCACGATTCGATTCTTATTCTGAGATTGAAGGAACGAACATGAGCAACACTTGAATTTGTGGCTGAGTCCTTTGCAAGTCTAAGCATCCTTCTACCATGTGCAAAGTCAAATTTGGGCCATCAAGCTCCACATTTGCTACAGAGTCAAGAATAATTATGTAGCTTCAGTTTGAAAAAGTATGAATTGTGAATATTCCACCCACATAGATTTGATGGATCGTAACCAGGCCAACATAGAAGAAGCTATACCTGTCCATTATCCGATAAAGGCTCTGAAGAAATGCAGGCCCCAACAATATGCGTACCACTTTAAATAGAGTATGCAAATGCAATAATCAGTACTAAGGTATGCGAAATTAAGTTAGCAAAACCAAAGTTTAACCCAAACATAGTTAATTATTAAAAAAAAAAGAAAGAAAGAATTTTGTTACATAGAACACGTATGTTTAAACAGAGTAAACTGATATTTTTCCATCAATACAGACAAAGTATTAAGAACTTCTTTAGAGAAAGTAGATTTGAAGAGCGTTTCGAAGGCAAATCTTAAAAGTAGCTTCATAAGCATAGACCTGCCTAATTCGGGATGTTCTGCACTGATGATGTTCCGTTGACCTTGTTGTTTTAAGCCATAAACCTTGTCTAGCTTTGTTTACAGCTTGAGATGTTCTGGTGAAAAAACTACTGGTTAGCAACTCCCGCCCTGCACAAAAACTGTCATATAACCATGGAGTTCTTTGCATGGTGAACGCCGTTGTTGAAATTATAACAAGGAAAAAAAGAGAGGTTTGAATAAGGAACTAAAAAAAGAATAGAACATGCGGGAATAACCATAATAGAAAGAATATCATGGGTAACTCATCCCACCAATACTGGGGGAGTCCATGTACACAAAACTTATTATTCAAGGTTCTCTCCTGTCCGTATGCACGGAATATATTAAATATATTATCAAGATGTTTATTAGTTGTAAAAAAATAAAATGTATTCTATTAATGGTTGATTGTGAAATAAAATTAAAAAAAAAGGCGTGTGATGCAAAGAATAAGCCAACAATAAAAAAAATTTAAAAAGACAAGAGGGAATCTAAGTGATATTAATATTATTATAATTTACATTTTCTTGAGTTTGAATACAAGAAAAAAAAATTTTCTTGGATTTTTCTCATAATTTTACCTGTGTGATTTTAATATTTTTTAATGAAATTTATATTAGAGTGATTGACTTTTAATATGAAAAGAATGTCTCCCTTGATTTTTCCTCGTATTGTTAGCCGTGAAGTTTAACATTTTTAATGAGATTAATATTAGATTGATTGAATTTGAACGTAAGAAAAATTTTTGTTGGGATTTCTTTTTGTAATCTAATTTTACCCATGAAATTTTAATATATTTTTTTAACCATAGACGGTATTTTTTTCGCCAGAAAATATTGAATTAGGTTGCAATATGTAATTAAAATTTTCTCTCAAACTACAAAATGAATTGATTTTCATATACATTTGTAGTAGAAACGTGGTTTTAGGTATCTAGTTAAAGTTGGTTTTTTAAATGAAAACGACGTAATTTTGACTTAATGTATTTTGGAGGGAACACTTTTATTCATAATGTGACACTTCAACATTTTTTCTCTTGAATTTCCCTTTTAATAAGATAATATATTAATTAACTAAAATCATATTAATAACTTATTGCAATGTTCAACTGTTCGTTTTCCAATCCATTATTTGGTTCAAATGTTTTGAAACCGTGTAATTGTACTAGCATTAAAATATCTAAAAAGTATTATCCGTAGTACTTCCAAATTTTATTTATTTAAATATGTTATTTATTGGATAAATTAATAATTAATAGTTTATTGATATATGAATAACTTATCTATTTAGAGGGTTTTTTTTTTTTTGAAAAGCAACTTCTAATTTTTAAAAACTAAGAGATAAAGTCGAGTTTCAATTGTGAATTTGATTTTTAATTTATCACCTTATATGGATATAAATTTCAAGAAATAAAATTATATTACATCCGTATTTTATTTTAATAACCATTACTAGACATATTTTAATTTGTGTAATTATTAATTAATGTTATCGAGGGAACCATTATTTATATAGATCTTATTGTACTATTGGCTCCGACTTAGAACCAAATGAAATTATTCAGTTATAGATTATATTAATATATGGATGTAATACTATACTTTTGAATTATATACTCTTCTGTAAAATAAATGGATATAATGTTTGGCAGTTCCTCAGGACACTATTGTTATAACTCTACAGAGCTTGAATTGGATCAACTGGGTGGCTTGAGTCGTCTACCCGGAGCTGAAGAAAATAGAAGTTGCGATGCATTTGATTGATGGAATGATGAATACATTGCTAGAAATATTAAATGGCGTTGTTTCATTCTTTCGCTTCGGCGGTGCCGCCGACAGACTCAATAGAGCTCTATTCCTACCTCCAGCGTGAGGTTTTCCCACATCCGGAACCTGACCTCCCACTACCTTATGTCGCTGACATAATCCTGAATTTGGAGGAGAAATTTTATGTTGCTAAAGAAACACCAGAGGATCCAATTGAGGGTATTTTGTACGATATGTCAAACTAGATTTGAGGAGGCTCAAAACCAAAACCAGCAGAATTCAATGATGATCATGTTATTGAGTTGATGGCTAAAGAGGTGTTCAGAACAATTATTGGCTCGCACTACCACTAAAGTCGTCTTTAATGTCATTTCAGTCTAAAGTCAGTCCACAACTGGGAATACATTAGTTGCGGTTGGCTCAGTACTAGTGGTCTGCACAATTCTTGTCTTCTATCTTGTAGTAATGTTTATATAGGAGAGAGTTAGAATGATATATTGTAATCTGTTATACTCGTAATGGTATATCATAGTTCGTTATACTCACAATGGTATATTGTAATTCAGTACAAAACAAGGAGGCCAAATCCTAGTTGTACAAGATTGTACATTAATGTCCCGATAACATCATGATGTGGGATTTGTTAGACTCCAAATGTTTTTCACCTTTAGAACACAAGGACGAATTCCATGACTTTCAATCGTTTGAATCCTTTTCTAATTACAGTTTTTTCATTTTTTTTTTCCCTTCCATTGCTTCCAAGTTTCGTATTAGAGTGATGAGTATTGGAATTTCAAAGTGGATTGATGAGAAAAGACGTGTACATTAATTGATACCCAAAATAGCTGAATTAAGGCAATTCAACATAGATTTTGGTTTTGCTCACTTGGTATCAGGGGCGGAACTCTTAAGGGGCTCGGGGGATACTGAACCCCTCCGACCGGCTGGAAAGCCCCTTAAGAGTAGTCACGGATAATCTTATATCATATATTTTCGACCATCGATCTTGATTATGTATATATAGTCAGCCCTTCCAAGTCTGAGTAGTCGATTCGGCCACTGCTTGGTATCAATTACTTGTGTATCATATAGCTTTGATGGTATTTATAGTTTTTTGCATGTAGCCTACTCTATCATAGTACCATGACACGAGTTTTCGTTGTTGATGTTTTCGGATTGTGCTCCTTGGCATCTTAATAAAGATCGCTCTGAAAATAAAAATATTACGATCCACAAACAAATGTAGAGGTAATGAAGCATAATATTTGTTTACCTGTCTATGGATAAATGATCATACTAGAAGCACCCAAAAAAGCAAACACAAAAAAAAAAAAGTTAAAGGATGACAAAACACAAGTAGAAATTAACCAATAGCGGATCAAACTTACAAAGGGGCTCTATAAATCTCAAACCCTTTGTCACCCAAAAAAATCCTTCAGAGTCCACAAATTTTGGCACGAAAATACTAATTCATCCTACTACCATAATTATGCATCATGCGTGATTCTCCAACAAAGCTATAGAATGTAGAGAATAATAAGATCTTATAAGTAACCAGAAATGGAGGGGCGTGTATAGTTTACGCATCATATATTACATAATAATGTATTCTTAAGAGTAGCTCATTAATCACGGTGAAGTAGTTGGGGCGTAGAATGATGCAAGAATTTGCTTGAGGCAACTGTTGTAGAGCAAGGGTCGGTCCATCTGAACCAGATGCCCTGCATCCTCTATCCATATCAATTGAGCTTTGTCTCCCAATTTCCTACAAAAACATCATCGTCCACAATCCACATTCGTTCAAAATCAATTAATGAATGAATCACTCACCCACCCTGATTAATTGATTCAGCTCACAACTAGCTACCCCCACCATTCTAATTTTATTAAACTAAATAAATATTTTTATTTTAGAATGGATGAAAGAGAACTTTTGGTTCCATTCCATACCTTTTAACAGACACATTTAGGCCACATGTAATAACATCCAATAATAGTTCTCCTTAGGAAATAAACAAATACACTATCTATTTTAAGAAAATAGTTAAATTGAGTTATGAAATCTGAATGTGAACCACCTTTTTGGAGAAAGAGAGAGTACTTATTAAATCTATTTTTGCAAATAAACACCCTCACAATCAACCATTTTATTAATCAAAAAGCACCCTTCATAGAGGTACAATCTTTCTGTTTAGTATAGGGACTTACGTTTTTAGACTGTGGGCAACTTCCAAGCTTAAAATCCTGTCGTTAGCCCCCCAAAGTAGATGAACTCTCTGCAATAATATCATCACCAGTAATTAAGAAAGTATTTTTGAGGATCCAATTAAGACAGTAATTTCACTATGCCAAATCGGCAGTATCATCTCACAAACAAAAACTTTGTAGAATCTGTAGACTTAACTGATAAAATAGGATTTTTTTTTAAAAAAAAAAAAACTGATAAAATAGAACACAATACCTGGGTTAAGTTGGCCGGTTTGAAGTCGTCATCATCGCTGAAATATAGAGCTTCAAGAAGCTGCCTTTTCTCCTTTTTGTGCTCGTACATAACCTGCCAATTTTCGAGGATTTCAAAATACCTAAAGCTCCTTTTCAAAGAATTATATTCCTATTTCGTAGAAAAACGAATGAAATGTAGGGGTGTGCATGGGAGCTAGGGTTAGCCGGTTGAGTGTGGTGAGTGAGGGTGCATTGCTATTATCGTGATATCGTCATTCAAATTTCATTTGGCGATCTATTTTCATACACTGTACATTATAAATGTTCAAATAAATTTGGAATCCATCCGACTTTCAAATTTATTATCCATAATAAAGAACTAAAAATAATTAATATACATGAAGGTTCATAAAATCATGACTTCGGTGGACCCATTTCGGGGAGTAGGTCTCCCAGCCTTGAGTAATTATCACATTCTTTGTGGAAAAAGAGTAAATGAATGTTACTCTACTACTCATGCCTACCATTTTATTTGCCTTCTACTAGTTTAAGATTGTAGTCATATTCTAAAATTATTCTTTTCTTTGTTATTTTAAAACTGCATATTACATAGGATAATAATTTTGAGAGTAGAAACTACCATAGTGATACAAAAGAAGCTAAGGACATGTTTGGATTGTAATGTGTGTTTTTAGGTATTAATCTATTTGGAATATAAAATGTGTATTGAAATTGTTAAAAAAAAATATGTTGTGATTAATAAAAAAAATATTAAAAAATCATCAAATTTATATCCAAAATGCAGTATCAGTTGAAAATGCATCTTAAAAACGCAAAATGAAAGGAAACATCAGAACGCACCTCCAGAAAATCAGAGACAACAAAATCAGGGAACCACTGGAATCTATGGCTACCAAATTTCAGCAACTTCCTCCCACCACTAGTAGTTTCCGGCAACAAAAAGTGAGACCACCGGGCCAATCTCTCATTCTTCCACGAATCCCCGCCGGCCGCCGGCTCGTCGGACTCCATAACCGTGCCGGTAACAACCATGGAATCAACCAAGTTGGGAAACAGCTTCGCCATCTTAAACCCAACCATTCCTCCGTAACTAAAACCCACAACCGTGCATTTCTCCACGCCAAACATCCTTAACCCCTTGGCCAAACACTCGGCCTGAAAGCTCGTTGACCGGTCAGGATTGTCAGAAATGGAATCCCCGAAAAACAGGAGATCCGCGAAGAAAACCGTGTAATCCGTAGCCAATGCCGGGGCTTGGAAAAACCAGGTCAGCAAACCATCAGCACAGAATCCATGAAGCAACAGAACCACCGGCTTGGTGATCTTCTTCTTTGAATTCTCATCAACTAATTCCATCGGAGCCCAGAAATTCATTATGGTACCTGGTTCGATCTCCACTTTTTTGGGTACCAATCCAGCCAGAAGCTTCATCATCAGTGTCCCAAAGGGCTTCGTCGTAGCAAAAACGTTCATCATTGTCGAATTCCTATCCCTTCCCCTGTTTTCCCCTGTTTTTCTCAGACTGAAAAGAATTTTTATAGTGATGATGGCCAAGGGGAAAGGGGTGGTTAGATCATGAAAGGGGGTGCCTAATTAAGAGTTAGGGAAACATCATATTTTGTACTTGGAAGAGTGGGGGAGAAAACGATTGATCAATCAAGAACAATGAGAGATATATATTATGATCTAACTAGCTTTAAGTAGCTCGCTATTTTGAGTCAACATTTGCAGCAACTGCGTGCATGTCATGATGAAAATTGAAAAAGATTACTGTCTGGGGTGCTGCATTTTTCTGGTGGTTCATTAACACCACAATGGTACTATTATACTGGTCGACTGACAAATGGAGTAAATGTTGGATTCAGAAATGCCCATCGCCTAATCTTTACCAACTCAAATTAATTACACCACCATATTCTTTCCACTACTATACACCAAGTCGTTGTCGGAAAAAAAAAAAAAAAAGAATTTTTCGCGACACATATAAATACAATGTTAATACTAATTTTCAAATTTTGGATGACTTTAATAATTGTATTTATGTTGGTCTACTCAAATTTCTCCCAAATGTATGGGATCTGTGAGCTCTTGAAGAGAGATTGGATGGTGGAGCTTAACCGAATTTATCGGGAGCTAATTTTACTGTTGATTTTTAAGCATCTTTGGCTGCTTAAAGTCCCTGAGAATTACAACGGTTAGATAATTCACCACAGCAAGTAATACCGTAGATGGAACATTATGTAATAAGGATTGTACTCTAGAAATGTCCGAATATAGGTATTTGCCTCATCTTTTCAACCAAAAAAAAGGGAAAAAAAAAAAAACAAATTTCAGTCTATTTCTAATTTCTATACAAAGAGGAGGTTCGCCTAAAGTTTCAGCAGTCCACTATGGTTATCTTTAATTCTAGTTTACATAAGATTAAAACTCCATGCCCTGGATCCCTCATTGATTGGATGGATTGTTGTCACCTATATTAGTGATAGAAACTTTTCCCTTTTGGAGCTTTTTCCATCGAGGAGAAATACACTTGGCTAAAAGGGAAACACAGAGCTACCCTGCCGGGAGGAAATAAATGCAGGAAGTCGGAATGGGAACCACTTTTCTTCAATTTTCAATCTGATTTACTCAGAGGCAGAGGCAGAGTTGGCAACTTGGCATGCACACTGGCATCTGTTTTAGTCTTTGGAAGATGAATGTGGCCATTATTTACATTGTCATAAATGGATTAGACAATGTCAAATACGTACTTCTGACATGTATTTTTTCATTGATTTATTCTAGCAGAACTAAAAATCCTCAAATTTGGGTTAACCTTTACATGAGATTCTTAAACTTGTTTGTTGAGCAATGTTCATAGAGAAGTAAACTTAAGCTAGGATTTCAGCAACAGGAGAATTATCGACAACATTTTTATTTTTTTTTACAATGAGAGGAGGCATATTACCTAGATAATAATCTAGATTACTACAGGTCGATGGTAGATTACACCAATTACATCATAATGAAATCATGACTTCAGCTCATCCGCAAGCTCAATCAAACCAAATTAATCCTCCATAAGACCATAACTGATCGCCACTAGTGAAGCAATTATCGACAACATTAGATCTTGATTTATTCAAGATATAAGAATATCATTATCAAGAAATTATGCTTGTTTGAACGTCAACTTACATTTCATTTTACCACTTAAAAGTGGAAAGTGTTTCAAATTGAAAACTAAGTGGGAAATAAAAATGTTGTTTGGATGTTGGTTTTGAAAAAAAAGTATTTTGAACTACATTTTGAAATATCAAGTACAAGTCATCACTAAATAATTAAATAGTGTCAATTATAGTCACTGTAAAAAAGAACTTTTCCAAAAATAATCACTCAACAACGGAATCTTGCCAAATTTGTCACTAAATTATTTGTAGTTCTAAAATGATCATTACACTAACAAAAAGTGTTTCAAGTTGGAATTTAAAATGTAAATCAGAAAGCTGTTTGAATGATGTTTTCTTTTTTATTGAGTTTTGTGTTTAAGAGGTAACAATGAGTGAAAATGTAAAATAGAAGGTGGTCCACATGAGTGGTTTTGTTTTAGACTTGAGGTTTATACACCTCCATTTTTCTTTTCTTTTTCTTTTTGGACAAGAAATGATCGTTTATACACGTCCTTAATTTGCAAATCTGAAATGCGTACTTTACACATTTGGTTGAACAACGCGGAAAGCTTCAAGGTGGTGATTGGTGAAACATTCAAATAGCCTTAACATAATCTCACAAGTTTCGCCAGCCTGTGCCCAGTTGTTACAGTATTTGGTAAAAATAATATAGTACTAACAATTAATCAATCTTGAAATTCATCGTGACATTAACTAGCATGTGACAAATTATTTCACTTGGCTTGGATTGACCGGAGAATTTCTTTCAGATTCTTATTGTAACAGCAAGGACGCTCCATTAAATCTATATGGCCTGCATTCTTAATCAATTTCAAGCTTGCTCTATCTCCCAATTCCCTACATGTGTGTATAATCTGTATCATGTCAGTGCACATATATCACATTAAATTCAAACTTTAAAATTTTCTTTTAAAACTTTACAAAGGAAATCAAGAAATGTATATGATTCAGAAGATACAATAAATGGAGTAGAAAAATAAATTTGAAAAAAAGAAAAAGAAGAATTAACTTACAGTATGGTTTCATTGGCCACGCTCAAGTCAAAGATTTTTTCATTTTCTCCCCAGAGTAAATGTATCATCTGCATTCAATCATATACGTATTTTCGAAGGACTTAATGAGTCAACAACCATTCATCAACCTACAAGTTCTGAACCACTGACTGAGTCCTTATGCAGATTCAAAGCGGTGATTAATGTGATGCGATAAGGGTTCAACATGATGTACTCAAGAAGTTTTTATTTTGGTTTAATTATTATTACTACTCCCTCTGTCTCAAAATTATTGTCCAATTTGAGATTTTACTTTTAGTACAATTTGAACTAAAAATGAAAATACAAACTGGACAATAATTATAGAATGGAGGGAGTATTATTTTTTTAACAATAAAAGAGGTCAAAATCTAAAAAACTAAAAATCATCATACTTTGTAAATAGAACTACCACCAAATCGTATTCAACCTACGGGAGAGAGACAACTCAAACATAACAACAAAATATTACACTTTTGTTTTATCAGGTATATACTATATAATAGACAATATTGACATTTCACAAATCATTCCTACTATGCAGTTTGTAGTTTAATACTATAGAGTTTAGACTACCATAGGTTTCCTGTTTAAAAAGAAACATTAGACGATTTAATCAACTGTGAATGTCAAAATTCATTTGCAAGAACAAAGTTACGGACGGATCGACCCCTTATAAGGAGGTCGAGAAAAGTTAAAGATTTTTTTTTTTTTTTGGCGGCCATCACGAAGCAAGATGCAGCAAGTTTTCATCCTTGAAACCTTCTTAAAGGTTTTTCTTTTTCTTTTTGCAATCATCCTAATTATATGAGGGTGTAATGTCCTTTATGTTAGAGCACACTACCAAGTAGAAATTGCTTCTGATTGGACTTAAACGTAAAATGAACTGAATTGCAAATAAGATCATCAAATTTCCGTCCTATTTCCTAAAGAATTGTGGGGAAAAAAAAGTGAAGAGAATATTATCACGAAATCAATTTTAAATCTGTACAATTTGAAAAGGTTAATGGGGACTATTTTTTGGGGGGAAATTAGCGCGGTAATTAAAGATTTTCTGTGGGAAATTGACTAGCATTGCCTTGAAATCGGGTTCAAAATCTAGTTGTCTTGTGTGAAACATTAAGCCTAAAATAAATGAACTAACTATATTGTATTGAGCACGTAGAAACTCGTCGCCATACATTACCTGAGTATATGCAGTGGAGGGCACCTCGTAGTGATCTGGAAGAACAAGCTCGTCCAAAACTTGAGCTCTTTCATTTCGGAATGGATACATTTCCTGCACTCAAATCATGATCTCATCAAGTTCTTCTCGATTTCTCAACAACTGCAAAGTACTCGTATATATCTAGCTAGCTAGTATAGCAAAATATATGGAATATAATTTCCCAAAAAAAAAGAATATATATATATATATGTGTGTGTGTGTGTGTGTGGAATATCAAACAGTAATCAAGTCCTAAACAATATTACATATTAAAACCTGGAGAATATCTCTGTAAAAGAGATGAGGTAAACTGGAGAACAATTTTCCATGACTGCCGACTTTAATGAGCCCTTTGAGGTCTTCCACCGTTTCCGGCGACAAGAAATCCGACCACAGGGAGAACCCAACGCCGTTCAGCAATTTATCACTTTTGGATCGAGTAAATTCCACGATTGACCCGGTCACTACAACCGAGTCAACGAAGCCCGGGTACAGCTTCGCCATTTTAAAAGCCACCACGCCGCCGTAACTGAACCCGACGACGGTGCAACTTTCCACCCCCAACTTCTTCAACCCTTTGACCACGCGTTCCGCTTGAAAAGCCGTTGACCGGTCGGATTTATCGGTGGCGGAATTCGCCGAAGAAAAGGAGATCAGGGACGTCAACGTCGGATTTGAAGGCCAAGGCCAGAACTTGAAAAACCCACGTGAAAATGCCATCAAGGAACTCCGACCCGGTTCTATTTCGACTTTTTGGGGTGAAATTCCGACCAACTTCACCATAGGCTTCAGTATTCTAAACACATTCACCATTTTCTCTTTTGGCTTAATTCTTCAATCGAGTGACGACATACATTATTTATATTGTGATCAGTGAGTTACGTATCAATCATTTTTGGAGATAAATGGAAGTACGCATTCCTGTCTAAAAAATTAGACCATTTGATACATCATATTGCGCAAATTAATTACCTATTATTTTTGTGACGTAGTGCGTAGTAATTAGATTAAAAAAAAATATTACTCATAAACAAATATATAAGCGGTTGATAACGATAGCGATTAGCGACTACTATGAACACTCTCATTAACGACATGTGGTCCAGTGTTCTGTAGCTTTCACAGATTATATCGTGAGAGAACTGAGATTTTGGTCAACGCCATTTCATTCCCACAGTTGTTGGTCAATCGAGTGGTGCATGTACAGTATACTAAATTAAAAGTGCAATTACTCCAATATACTCTGTTTTCCAGGAATGTCATTTCAACCCAATTAGTTATAGCTCAATTAATTATTTTGGATCATCAATTTCGGATGTATTGGATATTTATCATCCGAGGTTTCAACAAACCACTGAGTAGAGATTGGTTTGTGAAATTTCATTATCATCTCATGTGTTGTACTCACAATAGAAAGGTTGGATTTTTTATCTTAATTATGAGGTGATAAGTTTTTATTCACACAATGTAATAGTTTAGATTTTTAGGCTTTGTCCTCCTTTATTGTAAAAAAAATAAAATGATGTAAGAAATATAATACTGTGATGTTTCAAAATGGTTATCATATTCATCACATCAAAAGTCGTAATACAATAAGGAAAAACTATCATTCTGGAAATTAAAAAATATTAACACTGGAGTAGTCAACTTGTAATAGGCACTCGACGGATTTATGATCACACGCGTAGCAATATTAGTTCAAAAGCTGAACTAGCTAACAATGACATTTGCAAATCTATCCCTAATATAACATATTGGAGAAATTTCCAAAAAAATCTACAATCCCTTTTACCGTGACCGTGCTTTAACGTTCCCTAAAATATTAAAAACTGAATCACGTTGGCTAAACTAAAATTAGCAATATATATCATCTGTCTCAAAATAATTATTCAGTTTCGATATTAAATTTCAGTATAACATGAACAATTATTTCGAGAATGAGTAATAAACATAACTATTTTTGTTTTGAGACCAATGAAATATTGTAACCATTTATTATTAGTTAAATAAAGTGTGAATTCTATGTATAATTACTTCTTTAAGGATAACTTAAAAAATTGTTTTATTATTTCAGCAATCGTAAAATATGTAGGCACCATCCACCTGTTTATTGTAGTCATAAAAAATGTATTACACCAACTGCTCTACAAGATAGAAGGGTGTGCGTTTCAAGAACTTATCCACGAAAAGTTGAAAACGATTAGTTTTGGTGGCTCTTTTCTTAGAAAAAAAGGTTAAAGAAAATTTGTAAAAAAGATCAGTTTTGGTAATAATGTGGAGATCAAAAGATCAACCAAATGTCGTTTATCGATGATGCTTTCCAAACCCCCCCCCCCTCTCACGTCATAAATTCGCGCCACTTTTAGATCCCAATTCGCGCCACATACTATACACATTAAATTACGTCTCCCAACTAAATGAGATCAAAGCCTAGCGTGAACTTCATCAGTTTTAGCCGAGCATCTTTGAGAATGCAACAGTCACGCTTTCCCAACTAAATTAGATTAATCCAAGGACAGAAGTGTCAGATCACACAACCCTAGCAAAAATTCCGTTTTTGAACAACCTCCTCATAAAATGGCACTCCCAAAAAGAACATCCATTTCGTGAAACATGAAAAAAGCAGATATACACATAATAAAGGAATCTAAATTTCCCTCAAAATGGTAAAGATCTTATTTTTAAACACCCTTGAACCATAAACAAGCCACTAATTAATAATCTTACATTTCAGGAAGAAAGAAAACAAAAACCTGGTAAAAACTTCAGCCTTGATTATATAATCTAGAAAGCTTGTAATAAAATTTGCGCATTATTTTCATTTGCTGATGTGAACAGGGTATCGATGGATGCAATCTTCCCAGGGATTATTGGGTGATGGCTTGACATTCCTGAGCGCTTGCCAAACCGCACTGTTACACTTGAATCCACTCCCGAAAGCAATTTGCCAAATCCGATTCCCCTTTCTGATCCTTCCTTTAGCTTCAGTGTAGGCCAATTCGTACCAGATCGAACTGGAAGAAGTGTTACCAAATCGATGCAGAGTCATCCTTGATGCCTCAACATGAATTGGTTCAAGCTGTAAATTCTTCTCCAGCTCATCAATCACTCCCCTGCCTCCAGCATGTATGCAGAAATGGTCGAACGCAAGCTTGAAATCCGGGATATAAGGCTTGATTTTGGAGTTTTTGGAGAGTTTTCTCGCAACCAATGTGATAAAAAACAGTAATTGTTCGCTGATTGGAAGAACCAAAGGCCCTAAAGTTGTGATATTTGTCTTCAGGGCATTCCCTGCTATAGCCATCAAATCTTTTGATAACGAAACCCCTGTTTTTCCCTGATCATCCTGTTCTTGGAAAACACATCTGAAAGCTACATCATCAGCCCCTTTATGGGTTCTGACTGAATGAACAAGCTTGTATTTTGCCCGGCTTTTCTCCGACGTTTTATTCGATAACAGAACCGCGGCGCACCCGACCCGGAAAAGGCAATTCGGGATTAACATGGCTCTTTTGTTACCGAAATACCAGTTTTGAGTTATGTTTTCAGTGCTGACAACAACGGCGTAAGTGTTTCTATGAACTTGGAGCATATCTTTCGCAAGATCAACGGCGATTACTCCGGCACTGCAACCCATTCCGCCCAGATTGAAGCTCCTTATATTTCCCCTGAGTTTGTACTTGTTTACAATCATGGCGGAAAGGGAAGGAGTCGGATTGAACAAACTGCAATTTACCACGAGAATCCCAATGTCTTTGGGCTGAATTTTGGTGGACTTGAACAGATTGTCCAGGGCCCCGAACATGACTTCCTCTGCTTCTTCCCGGGCTTTGGCCATGGTGGGATTTGGCGGGATACAATGACAGGCTTCCGGCAAATACGTTTCTTCTCCGAGCCCGGATCGCTCAAGAATCTTGCGCTGAAACTCTAACGAAACCTCGTCGAAATCACCGGTCAGCCTGGAATGTTCCATGAAATCTTGGTATTTGACTTTGAGATGATCCGGCGGGCGGTAGCAGGCATAGTCAACGAGGTAAACGGATCTGGGTCGGGTCATGATGTAGGCAGTTGACCCGCATACGAGCAATGAAGAAATTGCAATGATGCTGACGAGGTTTAATTGGAGGTGGCTATAGTAAAGATGGAGGATTTCTTCATAGTTCATCTGGGAAAGCTGGACAATTGTGATAACTATGATTGGGACCAAACAAAGGGTTAGGAGGTGAGACATGAGATAGTGGTAACCTAATTTAACGTACTTCAAGTTGACACTTTGTACAAAAGATGGCACTTTTCCGATTCCCTTTCCACCATTTTCTGCTCTCTGAATCACGGAAACCGAATTCATGGTGCTTGAATTGTTGGAGGAAATGGAAGGAAGATTATTGTTGTTGTTGTTGTTGTTATTCATTTTGATGACACGAAAAATGTAAGAAAATATTGTAAGTGTTACGTCCGCAAAGTGGAAGGAAATGGTCTATAAAAAGGAGGGAGTGTTTATGGTGGGGGGATGGGGGGTGTTGGATGGGTTGGGGTTTAGGTAGATGCAACTACACTACGACCAAAAATACAAAACAAAAAAGGATGAAAATGCCAGTAACACAAAGAGAAGATGATAAGGAGAAAAGTATTGTAATAGATCATGTCATATTGCGCAAAATGTGTATATATTACGGCAAAAGTTAACAAGCTTGGTTTTTATAATGTCATGGGTGAAGTCAGTAATGTTATACGGGTCATATTGTGCAATCTCGCTCGTACATACTTTTATTCAAACATATATCGTGTGATAAACAATTAGTCCTTCCAAGATCTTTATTGATAAACCATTTAAGGTATTTTTCTATAATAATAGTTTATAATAATGCGTGATTTTGTGACTGATTACATGATATATTTTGTTACGTAAGAAAGGAGTAGTTATGATAAATTACACGTCCGGTGGTCCTCTACACCATCATGATAGTGATAGGTTTTGCATAGGCTAGAATTATATATGAGATTTGTTTTAGCCATTTTGCTTTCTTACCACCACCAGTTTAAGGGAGGAAAAAAGTTTAAAAGAAAAGCTAAAATGGAAACCACATTTAATGTATTTTGTTGATCACACTAATGGGGGGGTAGGTATGCAGGCAAACGGATATGAATAATGAAGAAATATGCGTGGATAAGTCAAGAAATTGGGGTTGACTAATCCCCAATTTGGGTGAACTGTAACCGTCGTCATGGCGAAGATCAGTAGTGATGAAGGAAGCTATTAATAAAATATGCTAAATAAGAGGAGTTCGTGGGAAGTTACAAGAATATAGTATTATTATCGATTGCATGGAAGTGATGATGTTTTAATTAAATCTACGTACGTAATCCATGCAGCTGCAACTTCCCCACCTTCCCCGTTTGGAATTGCTTCCTCAAATTAATTTCCCGTGTGTGTGTGTGTGTGTGTACGTGCGTTGGCTGTTTTTCTCTTCGCTCCCGCTTACCAGACAAAGACGCAACAGGTATATTTTGAAGGAAAAAAACTATTCATTGTTATAATTACTACATCGGAGTTCTCCAGAAAACACTGGAAGCATAGACGTGGTTTGCCCAATATATTGAAACTGGAATTTGGTGAAAGAAGAGTAATATTTTAGACAATGTTGGTGGATTAATCTTTAATGAGTTTCACACGTTGAGATCAACCCGTAAATGTAAAATGGATGCGAGGTACTTGAATGACTTCTCAAAGGAGATTTATTGGGTTAGAATGACATTAATTAGGACAGTGATATCAAATATCGAACATATATACCAGCCCGAAAAAAAAAGTTAGTATTTTTATTTGCAATTAGATTTTATTTTAAAAATACTAGAAAAAAACGTGTTAATGATTATATTGATTATGGAAGGTCATTTTATTTGTTGAATAACTTGAGTAATGATGTACTGAATCTAGCTACACAAATTCACAGTTTTCCCTTGATTTCTTATGGTGATTCATATTGACGTAACTAGCTAGTCAGTCATTTTGTTACAGATTTGTGATTTCTTTTGCTATTAATAACATGACTTGCATCGCCTAGGTCCACGGATAAATTGTGTAATGTATTTCCAATTTTAGAGTTTTACCCAACTTGGTAAGGAATTTTTCTATATCACGCATGTTAATGATTACTACTCCCTTTTTCCCAAAATTATTGTCCAGTTTGAGATTTCACTTTTAATATAATTTGAACTAAAAATAAAAATTCAAACTAGACAATAATTATGGAACGAAAGGAGTATATACTAATCTACTAGCGTGTGACAAGTCACGATGATGAATCCTTACGAAATTATCGCTTAATGTATCACTATTCGAATACTTATAAGGTATAAAAATTTACTAGAAACTTAGAATCATAACAATGATGTCCCAATCACCATTCCGAAACGTATCAAATGAGTTGTTCTACTTAATTAGCTTATTTGAAAATTGATGTGGATTGATTTCTATCATCGTTTCGACATGCAACTAACCTCCTCTCCACGCTATTTACCTTCTTCCATGAAAAAAGACCATTTAGAAAGTGTAACTGTGTAAACCACCAAAATTATTGGACTTTCTATCTATACGTTTTTTGCGCATGGGATAAGTAATTGGATTAGTAGTAGTAACTTAAAGAACATAAAATATGGAGAATCTTCTGCACAGCTTTCATATCATGTCGACTGGAAACCTTTTCGGTTGTTGTCCGTTTCGAATTTATAGTTGATTGGTTCTGATGGTTTAATTTGAACTCCCAACCAAAAAAGATTAAAGTCTTGATGAAAGCGTTTCCAAAAAAACATCACAACTCAAAGTTCTACTATATTTGTTGTTATTATTATCGTTTGGGTTCCTTTTGAGCTTAAGGGCCGGTTGAAATATTTGAAAATCAACCCGACAAACTAACAAAAACCCTTTGGTTTGCTAGAGGGAAGGAACCAAAAATAAACGCCAAATCTGATGTCATTCATATAACTCAATGTCATATAGTAGGAAGGTATTTTGGCAAATGTTGTTTAAAATATTCAGTACTATTAAGTAGGCATGAATATGCGACAATGATTAAAATATTTATTTTTTATTGAAAAACACAAGAATCCAACATTAATCAATGTGTAATACAGATGAAAATATTAATTGCGCAAATTGGTCTACTCTAAATATGGGCTTAATCTCCATTTGAGTAGATATTGGATCCGTAAATGACATATGAAACAACTGGGCTTCACGGCCGGCTGAATAAAGGGCCCTCTATGAAACGACAGAGTGACTAGCCCAACTTTGGGTTTTTAAGATTTCTTGTTCAACAATCCTTTTCTCGTAAGAAGGAATTTCTTGATCAATACTCCAGTCCAGTGCACTATTAATAGTATTCTACTATTCTTCTGTAATTCCTTGATTCGTGAATCGTGAATTTTAGCGACCTTCAAGACGATCTCTGCTTTTTATTCATAGGAATTTCTTAAGGTAAGCCTGTTCATCTTTCATACTACTATAATCATTGTTATTTTATCTTTTGCTTTTGAATGCTGCATGTTTAATTATCTTTTAGCTTACAAGCAATTTAGATTTAGTAGTTTTGATTTGTTCCAGTTCATAGTGTTAACAAATTTCAATTGATTAGTAGCCTTTGCTTTATGATTTTCCCCATTGTCGGAGGAAAAAGGATTAATTAATCAACCTATATACTTTGAAATTCTTGGTTTAATGTTAAAGAATTTTGGGACAATTTGTTTCACACGTATGTTTCTGCCTTGCCTTTGAGAAATTTGATCGGACATCTGGTGTGCTACTAGGGTTTCGATTTTGTTGTCACTTTTCGTTATCATTATTGCAATCTAAATGCTTAATTTGTATGTTGATTATCACATAATACTCCCTCCGTCCCAAAAAAAAAATCCACTTTTAAAATGTACAACTCTTTAATTTTAGTCAACTCAATTTAATCTTTAAATTTCCATTTCTAACCCTGTTATATTCCAATCGTGGCTTTGAAACCCAGAAGTCCCCCTCTAATTTTTTTCCCCCAACAAAGGCAACCGTGACTCATGAGCGCCGGATTCTCCATCATCGACACCGTCCTTTGATCCTCCGTCACCGCCTTTGATTCCGTCGCTCTCTTCTCCAAGCTCTGCTTCTTCTCCCTCTTCTATGACTGCAATTTTTGAATTTATGAATTCTATCGTATCAGAGGTCTTTGTCCAATTTAGTATAATTTTAGGATTTTCCTTCCCGATCGGAAATAGTCGGGGGTTTCAATCGCTTTCGGCGTCGGAGATTAGATCTTGAAATCAATGTTAATGGAAGAGAAAGAGGTGGCGGCAGTTGGGGGGAGATCGGGGAATTGTGGCTGGTGAGCTGCCGATTTGTTTTGGGTGACTCGCTGTAATAATCTTTAAATGTTAGGGATATTGCGGTCATTTTGAATGCTTTTTATTTTGACTTTTTTAAACTGGATTATTTTTTTTGCACAAGATTATTTATTAAACTGGATTATTTTTGTGTGACGGAAGGAGCAACTTTTAGTCTTTCTTAAATTGAATCGAGGCCTTGTGTCTTATGATAGATAGTTGAGATTAATTCCCTATGACAATAGAATAGATGAAAATTGATTGTCTGATTTATTTTATGAATTTACCACACCAGGAATTAATAATGCCGGCCGAGAAAAATCAAGTCGAGGCAGCTCCGACGAAGGAGATTACTTCTTGCTGGAAGAAGAAGAAGAGTGAAAGCAAAAATTTTATGCAAGATGTGAAGGATCACATAGATGTCTTCATTCACGCTTCTAAGCACAAGACCTGCTTTCAGCAAAAATTCAAAAAGTTTTTATATATATATATATATATATATATATATATATATATATTTTAATTCAACATCCTCCTACCTCAATTTTTTTTTTCTTTTTTAACTCACTTTTATAATATTCATTGTTGTAAACACATTGCTGATTTCATTGTTGGTTTTTTTTTTTTTTTTAATTGGATTCAGTTGTTTAGCATGTCCAAAGTTGTGGCTGATCGAAATAGCGGTGCTGCAGAGATCAAAAGTTCGTCTGACTGAGATTTAAGGATATATATTCAGCTTCATTTAATGAAGAAAGATTGGTTTCTACATGTAATAGTTTAAATTAGGTATGCCATTTTTTTAAGTGTCTACGAGGGATTTGTCTGCAACGTCAGAGTGAATTGTATTCTGCTTTCAGTTTTGTGTTTATGTTAACTTAATTGGATGGTTGAGAAACAGTAATTAAATTTAAGTAATTACATTACTGCTTTAACAGCTTTCGAAAATTGGATGGTAGGAAATAAGCTTTTTAGTTTAGTTTAAACTCCCAAACTTCCATATGAATCCATTTTAATTCAATCAAGTGAACTATGAAAACAGGATTATAAAAGAGTGCCACTGAAACCTGCAACTATTTCTTAGATGGTTTATTTCGCGTAATTCTGTCAATACTTTTTCTACAAACTAGGAATCAGAACCGAAGTTGATATGATTTAATTTGCTAGCATATAATCACTCTGTCCCAAAATTATTGTCCAGTTTGAAATTTCAGTTTTAGTACAATTTGAATTAAAAATAAATACATAAAATGTAACAATAATTATGCCAATTCTTCCGCCGCGACATACGAAAAACAACCAATACTACGAGTGAACTGATCGATTCTCTCAGGAATTTAATCAGTGTAGGAAATATTTTCTTGATTTCAAAACTCGAGGAATATTCAAACCTAATTAATTAAGGGCCACAACTTACTGACTTAGTGTGGAGTTAGGGAATCAATGAATTGCGGGGGGTGTATGCCAATTGTGTATATTTGCATGTGCTAGTGGTTTAACGAACCACACCAAACCACAATACCGTCCCCAATCTGCCTTTGATTAAAGTTTGATTAACATTTTGTACCTCCAAAACAAAAATTACTAACACAAATGTTCAAGATAAATTTCTTCATATATTATATGTAAAACGATTATGTATAATACATGCATTTAAATTAGATTTAGTTTAAATTCCTACTCTTTAAATATTTGACAGCAAAAAGAAAAAGAAATAAATGAAGAAAGCTTTCAACAATAGTCAATAGGTGACTTTATTTAATTTAGCTGGAGATGGCACTTGGTCCATCTCATTACATCAAATTAAGAGAGGAATTCAAATGCTTCCTTGTCCTTTTTACTAAATAATCATTATGATATGACCTAATACGTGAATATTACGTCAGGTACGACTAGCTAGCTTGAACAGCCAACAATTAAAGTTACAATGAAATTACTTCTTATTACTATTGCTCTATCCTTGACTAAATTAAATAGATCAATGCAGAATTTAGTTTGCAACAACTAGAATTAATTCGGTACTATATAACTCCGACCTTCAATTCGAACATCTAATATTAGGCTTATATAGAATAAGAAGATGCTGACCAACGAGATGAATTTGCATGCATATCTTTTTCTTTTTTTTCCTTATTTATTTTTTTTTCTTTTTTGGGTGCTACTTAATTTGCATGCATCTTTCTTGGAGACGGTACAAGACGTTATATGGTTTTGTCCCTTCACCAGGCCTTCATATTTTTCATCCTGCATGAAAACGAAGGTTGATAATTGGGTTAGTCCAAAAATGCTTCAAAAAATATATTTAAAAATACCATTTTTTTTAATATGAGTGGATGTCATAATATACAGAATCTGCAGAAAGTCTATTTTTATTTTTAATGAGTTATACATAATATAGAACAAAATTTAATAATTTATTATTGTTATGACTTGAGGAAAAAGTTGTGTGGAGTGTACATGTTAGACAATGATATAAGCAATAATAAGAACACGTGAAAAGTTGAAGTTGGGTCATTGAAAGGGATTGATTAGATTACAAACTCCAAAAACCTATGATTTCGACTCCTAAACTGTCGTAGTAGAATTTCTCCAAAATATAGGTAAATACGTCGACGGCTTTTTGTGTGATTCTTAGTAAGACTCAACCTACGAACTGACAGATCATTAAGAAGATCATTAAGAAGATTGCCATAATTATTATTGTCATCCTCTTGATTTGGTGGGTAAGGGAAACATAAGTGATGCTTGACAAAAACATATCACCAGAATTCTTAAAAACCTTCGTACGATTTGTGAGCTGATTCTACAACAACAAAGGAACCTATGCCCATAACCTAATTGGCATGCAGCATTTTGTCAAAGATATTGTGACCCTAACTAGCACCATAGATGTATCCCTTGTTACTTACAGTACACCAATCAGATTGTCACAACAATAGCAACACGTATTGTCCATATTTAGTTAGGACCAGTAAAAGTATTTTTGTATGTGTAACATACGTTAATTCTCAGAACCGTTCTGTTCACTAATTTCAGGATCTCTATCGTTACTGATATTATCATAGATATACGTATTGGAATACATATATATCTGTGTGTGTGGACGTGTGCATGAGTGTGTGTGTACGTGACGTATGAGAAAAGTAGGTTATACCTGGAGTCAAGATCAGTGGAGTTACTTGGTGAGGTGGTGGTCCTGTAAGGGTAAGGGACAAGACCACTCTCGATGTGTTTGACATCGGCAACCAGGATTTCATAGTGCCTCTTCACCTCTTCCGCCGTCTTATTCCCTCCGACGGCTTTGGCAACGTTGGTCCAACGGTCCGGTGTATCCTTGTCGTACACCGCCAATGCCTTCTCGAAGGCTTTGTTCTGTGACACGGTCCATGTTCCTGATGTTCCCCTGGACATTGAACTTGATGCCATTTCTTCCTTGGTTTCTCTTTTCCCCCAACAAAAAAAGATGAGGTTTTGGGATCTGAAAAAAAGGGTTAGCTCAACAAGAAAAAGAGCTGAAATATATAAAGAGAGAAACTCAAGGAGAGTGACTCAAGTCAATGCCTCAATGGGGGGATGATTTGTGAAGAAAGGATGGCAATTGAGCGTGTGTTTTATAGGCGTCTGGGAAAGGGAGTGGGGTCAACAACCCAGTTGGCACTAGCAAATTTCGAGCTTCTTTGGCTGTGATTTGTCTACTTTGGAACCACATGAAAACAAGACATCGAAATGAAATTTGAGCTTGACTAAAAATTCCTCATTCTTTTTGGGAGAAACATTAACCGTTACATGACATTGTTGAGGTGGTTTATCCCGTTGCATAGTAGTGTCATGGTTTGAGTTTATACCTTATTCTTCCAAAAAAAAAAGGACTAAAACTAAAACTTTAGTACTCTCTGATAGACCAGACCAATATACATATTCAGAAAACTCCTTCACTCCTATTTCAAAAAGTATTGTGTTTAAATAATGTTTCATAATCATTATCTTATTTGTAAACTAAAAACTCAAATTGATTATTAGTTTTGAATACAGAACCATGTGAAAAAAAAAATTATGTAAGTAGAGATGCAAGGTGGAATTGATTATGTAGAGATAAGCAATAATCATTAGGGAGATATATATTAATCATGAGTAACAGTGACTAATCTCTTATTATATGAATAGAATCATCTTTACTACCTTGAAAATACTCTTTTGTTGCGACAAATAGAATACTAGTAATTAATTGAAAAAACATTGGCAAGAGGTGCGGTTAACTTTCTTCTTTTTTTTCTTTTTTTTTTTTGTGGAATTGGCTTAACGCCTTAACCTATAAGTAACCTCATGAAATTTTTCACGAGGTTGGTTTATGGGGATAGCTGCCATTGAAAGAAATACCTGATCTTTGATTATTCGGTTAGTAACATCCAACTGTACAATTTTCCTTCTAGCGTACGCATATGCATCTTTCCAGGGTCTCCAGACTCTCTGTACTGTATAGTATAACTGACCCTAACCTTAATTATCCACCAATTGTAGATTAAACAGAGATCGATTTCTAAATTGTGCTCTCTCAGAATTCTAATCAACAAAATATTAAATAGTTTACATGCATGCGTACCATATTAGCATGTCGTTATAGTTCCATCTCGTTTTTTTAGAAATAATTTCGAACCAATAATAAATAATTTACTGTATACTGATAAGTTGCAGTTTCCTTATGTGACGGATTAATCAAAGCAGCGACTGAAAGAGTAATAATATACATTTCTCTCTACTTTTGTTGCTTATTTTAACTGAAAAATGCTTTTCCATCCCAACCACTGTGATACAATCGATGTATCAAAATAGTTGTTTTTTACCCTTTAATGTTTGAACTTGGAGAATCATATGTCATGTGGAGTTAAGATTATCTTATTCAGATGTGTATACATTTTTGTACCCATTCGATATTTATTATAAGGAATTTTGATTTTTTTAAAATTTCAATTAATATATATTTTTAATTGACAAAAAAATATTAAAAATATATTTTCATATTCATTGTGTTTTCTTGATCGTAATGAAATATTTTAAAGGTTTTTTTGTCGATAAAAAATGTGTATTAGATTAAATATAAAGTTAAACATAAAACAAATCAAAATGTCTTATATCAAGGACCGGAGGAGGAGGGAGGGAGTACATGCATGCGTACTTTGGTACTGAACAACGTTACAAATTCTATAGCTATCCAGATGAGATTGAGCCCCCCACCAAGTGTTCGTATATATGATTGACGTACGATAATCATACAGTCGAGCCAGGCTAGTTGGAACGGTGCACTGTCAATGAGCTATCTATATTTTTGGAGTAAATATCTAATAAATGGACTAGACTATACAGTTCACTATGCTGTAGAATTTAGATTTGAACTGGATACGTCATTTTATGATATAAAATATATATTTCATAAATATTTAACCACTGTTGTATATGTGGATTTATTTGATGTCTAAATACACTAACTATCCTAACTCATATGATTTGTGGTCATAATAAGTTGATACCTTAATTAATGGCATGTATTAACCCTAAAAAAATAGCTGATTAACCACGGCCAATGTCGTAGTTAAATATACGTTGTTTTAGACATGGATATTTTGTGGCTAATGTTACAGCTAAATTATGAATAGAGATAAATTAATATTGGTTAATAGTTCATGGATAATTCCTGGTAAATCAGTGGCTAAATAACTACGGATTTACTACGACCATACTTTTTCCGTGTGTAATCACTTGTTTTTTTGTAGTATAAGTGCTAGTTTGTAAGAATGAATGTTATCTATTTCATACATAAACATTTATAGGTTATGAAAGGCAGAAAAAAGATGTGGAAAATGAAAAGCCAAGTTAGAACTATTCAACTGAGGGAAGCAGCTAGCTAGCTAGGTACTTACTATGGTACGACCTACGACGTAATAGATAGAACGTACGAACACTGGCCAGATCTCTCCAACAATATTATATGTCCCTTGTTAATTTGGACTGTCTCTTACATTTTACTTTTGAAAGTTGTCTGTTGGATGATGAAATATATGGCACAACCAACAAGATACTAGTGATCGATATGAGAAAGGTAAAAAGTGATGGGCAAGATCCCAGATCGTAGGTATTTTGTCAAATAATGGAATAATAATGCATCTACTTTCTTTTTTCTTTTCTTTTTTTTTTTTTTTTTGGTTGAGTTTTGGCCAAAACACACATTTCTGTCCATTTGTTTCTAGTTGGCTTTCAATGTTTTCTTTTTTCCCCTTATCTCCTTTTGATTCCCGGACAAAATCCCCACAAGAGATCGTTTTTCTTTTTTACAGCTTACCGAATTTCATATTTCCATTTTTGCACTTTGCCCTTCATCGATACTCCATTCATTCTTAAATGACTGTTCTGGTTAGATTGCTAATTTTAATATAAATTGTACTAAAAGTGAAAATTTAAATGATATAGTAATTTTTTTTTATTATTATTATTTTTTTTTGGCTCTTTCTTCTTTATAGATGTTATTAACCAAAAACAGGCAACAAAGGAAACATTATTCTATGAAGCTTCGTCTGCATCTCTAATACATCAAGCCACTCACATTCTATAGAAGTACTCCTTCCGTCTCATAATCATTGTTCAGTTTGAATTTTCATTTCTACTTCAAATTGTACTAAAAGTAAAATCTCAAATTAGACAATAATTTTGAGACAGAGAAAGAAATAAATAACGTAATACGACTTGCACGTTCAACACTTGTAGAAATGAGCATCACTATTCATATTTTTTTTACTACAACTTTACACGATGTCATAAGTTAGGACTATTTTGTGCACAATTCAGGTTTTGTAATCGAAAATAGACTGTATGAAGATGAAGAAGAAGAATGAATTACACAAAGTATGTGTACGTATTTTTTGGTAACTCACAATGATCAGATAAGACGAATCCGGGCAGAAATAATTGGCAGCCCAATAATAATATCTTCTCCAAGACAATGAAACTTTTTGGATATGACCTCTGCATATGATCAAATATTCAAATGTAGTACTCTTCCTTGTCTTTCTGCTCCTCAAGAATCAAAATCACCTATGACCAAAACCAACACCTTTAAACTACGAGCAAGTGGGCAGTGTAGTCCAGACCCCCTATACACCCCTACGTCTAGGTGCCTACGTTATCTTGGATGAGTGATTTATATTCCGGAATCTCTCCATTTTACATTATTTATTCATAAGAGAGCGAATAGTAACGCGATAATTGTATTTTAAGCATCTGTCTTACTTATTTATCTGGAATCTCTTTGTATAAATTAATCATGATTTTAATGATCCTAAATTTTTAGATACAACCAAACAAGACACACCTAACATTGCCTCTAATTATCTTATTACTTTTCATTTTAAGATGTCTTTTTGACATTTTTAAATCCATCTTGTACATTTTTAATAGACGAAATGTATATGAGAAAACGCTCCAAAAAGAACTTTAGTTAACAAAATCGTAAAAGCTAATCTAAGAATATTCTAAGATTGTAACATTGTACTGGATAGATCTCTGTTGCTTGTCAACTTGTGCCCCACAACCATTATACCAAATCATAACAATGATTGGTTGGGTGGACTAATGGAGGACCAAAACTTTACGAAGTATTAACATCAAAACCCCCCAACCCCTCGCGATTAGAGAGATTCCTCCATCCTTAACCATAAGTCGATGGTTCGAATATCTCTATAATTATACAGTAATCTTAAATCCTTTGGCCAACTCTCCCACCCATCGAAGTGCTTACCACGAGCTAGGGAGATTAGTCACTATTGTTGACGGTGAACACCCTGCAACATGGAAAAAAAAAAAAAAAGGAGAGATTCTCCCTCATAAACCGCAAAAAAATAGATTATTACTTTCCTCAGTTAACAACAAATGTAGGAATTTACATCTCACCAATATTTATTTAGGAAAAAAAAAGAAATAGGGGATCAAATCTTTTTCTTTTTTCTTTTTTTTCCTTTTCCTTTTTTTGTGCGTGTGCATAGGGTACTAGTGGGTAGAATAGTAGCAAAAGAAAAGGAAACTCAAATTAAGAAAGAAAATGGAAGAAGAATAAATAAGGTTCACTTTTTAGTGGCCCAAATAACAAGTTGTTGGGGTCATTTTCATCGGATCCGAACCACATACGATGGGCCTGATCTAATCATCGGAATAATTGAAAAGTTCAACTAGTTAAGACACCATCTTTGTAAACTTGGTTTACTCTTTTTTTAACTGTCCAAAAAACCCAAAAAAACACCTTCCCCTATAAAAGAAATGCCGAGATAGTAGCACTGACGAATTTAGGAACATAGATGTAGCATCCTCAAGGAAATTTGGGAGAAGATGCATAATCAATTCATTGGAGAATAAATTTTCCCTTTTAAGAGAATTCAATCACAACTACTTTTGCTAGATATTTATTTCACACAACTTGTCCAATGAAAAATCAAAATTATAATTAGATATTCCAACAAATTTTACATTAGATAGACGATCGTTTAATATATAATCGTATGTACAGTGTCTCACATTGGTATCTTAAGTCTCTCTTAACCCATATATATAAGATCTTTCAACCTCTTCATTCTTAAATAATTGGAAGAATAGGAATTGCGCCAAATGATATTTCACATAGGGATCTTCCATTCCATTTTTGTTATTGTACTTGCATTGCGATAAATTTTTATTTATTTTTTTCATATTGCAAGTATCCATCATCGACAATATTGTCTAATCTAAATCTAATATGATAATAATTATAAAAAACTTTGAAGAAGTGATACAAAGTAATTCAAAACGTATTTTGTAGTCGGCAATAACCTTTAATGGATCGAATCCAAAGGAGAACTTTCTGCCTTTCTGGACCAATACTCACTGGTCCATCCCTCGCAACTTGGGTTTCCTGCATGAACTAATATAACCTACCTTGGACTCCCATTTCATGGCACAGAAAGCTACTACGTCCTTCCACGAATATTTAGGAGCTTTTCTAAGGTCCCGACAGACTGCTATTTTTATTTTTATTTTTTGTTTCCCACGTTGAAAATTTATACTGCTGGTATTTTTTGATTTGGGAATTGGGAGATAGTATAATTATAGTGGAAATTGAAGCATAAACTGGCATTGCCGAAATGAGGAAAGAAGATAGATTGGCAAACTATACAGATTACGGAGCGAGGAGTGGACTAAAGGAGAGCTATTTGAAAAGTGTCAACGTAGAATGCAAAGCATAGGTCACTAACTACTCCATCCGGTCTTAGTTAGTTATAAGGCACAAATTTTTAAATTAATTTTTATGTTAATTTATGTCTTATAATTAAGATGAGAGAAAATATTAACTATTAACTCAACTAGAGATGTCAACAACTAACGTGTCATGTAATAATAACAAATTTTTTGACACAAAATATGATTGGATTATCATTGGTCAACAAAAAAATAACGATTTGGAGATTATGGAAGACAAATGCGAAGAATAATATTGAGGAGATACTGGACACCTTAGATGGCATATTAATGGCAATGATTGGTGGAAGAATAAACCCCACAATTAAGAGGTGAACACACTTGATTCTCCGTTGCACTTAGCATGTGCCAATCAATAACTTTGTAAAATTAAAAGTCTAAAAATATTACTACCTTCGACCCAGAAAAAGAAAAATAGTCCACATTGAGTTTACAAATTTGTATTAAAAACAGTACAAAACTCAAAATTTAATGCGGACTATTTTTTGGGACGGAGGTGCTTATGCTCGATGGCATTGTCTCCTCACTGAATGATAAAGAGTAACTGACAATAACGAACCACACAAAAATGCTTTCAATGTGTACAACAAACGTGTTCACCATGAATCTTACGTTGGCCACATGTTTCCCCAAGAAACTATTGAAGGCTTTGATGGGTACAATAAACGAAACTATTTGATTAAATCACTCGAAAAACTTTTGGTGATTTCAAAAGGAAGTTATTCATGTTACCTTAGTAATTTGCTACTTGGCACTCTTAGTTATTGAGACGCCACTAGTACTTTTTTTTATATACTATTCAATAAAATAATAAAATAAACTGGTTAAGATGGAACTCAAACTAACTAGCAACTCAATTAGATAATTTCCATGTTTATAATGTAAACTCCAGTAAACTGTAAAACGGACTTTCTACGTTTGGTCGCTCACTGCAATTTGATGTCTATAAAGACTCCAATCCTCATCATATACTGCACCAGAAAAGCTTATTGTTGCCACGTTAGAGCCAGAAAAAAATGGAATGGAGGAAGCAACGAACATGACAGAAACCACACATTTCAAGAAAGGATCTTCGGCCCAACATTAATGAATACATATTGAGCCTACAAGTTGCAGCCCACACCACAAGATAGCCCGTCCTGCACAAAAATGAGTCTCTCACTAACTTTTCTTTTTATTTTTCAATTTTTGGACCAAAAACGTCATATAATTCCATTCAACAAAGGGCCTAATACATTTATTACCCAAAAAAAAAAAAGGGCCAAATAACACTGCCGAGTCATATGATCTCCCTCAATCTGTTTCAGAAAAAATCTCTTATTACGGCTCAATAATGAGAATTGAAACAAACTGATTACCCAAGATTTCCTCCTCTTTTCGGCCTACTCAGTATCTTAAATTTCCCTTTCCAAAATGAGCCTCTTTTATCTAGATTTCTTCTCAATCCAATTTGCCCACAAGTCTTCCAATTTTTTAATATATAAAGGGGCTTATTTAAGACACCTGAAAGTTTCGAAAAAACCAACGGATTTTTACCGGCAGCTGGCCTGAGTTATGTCAAATTGTTTAATCACAGAGAAGGAAGAATTGTTAAGTTCCCTAGTTCAGAGAGACTTCACAATTTCTCTACTATTGCTACGTTTGTAGATATTTTAATTACAATAAGGAGGAATGTGCGTGCCTTGAATTAGATCAAGAATTGCTCTATTACTTACGTCCACTGTTATTTGCAGTAGGTAGCAGCATATATTGACTTTCCAAATAAAACATAAGATAAATAAGAACAAGAATTGCAAAATTGAAGAAACTCTGAACCTTCATTTACTTCATTCCACAGAATTCTGTAAACTAAAGATTTAACACGGAACAATTGACGGAACCAAAGAACCAGCGGTCAAAAAAGACGGAACCCCACCAACCCACCTTCATCTTTAACCCGGAACTCACGACCCAAAACCCGAACATAAAATTTAAAGGACAAAGTAACAATCAACCAACCCTAAACTAATAAATTAACTTCTCCAGTTTCCTTCGGAAGCACCGCCGCCCCTGGAGTAACGGGCGCCACCTCCGCCTCCGCCGTAGCCACCTCCGTTTCCACCATAACCGCCACCTCCTTCACGACGACCACCACCGTAGCCGCCACCGTTTCCTCCATAGCCACCTTCACGGCGACCACCGCCATAACCACCACCTCCGCCTTCACGGCGTGGGCCACGGAATCCACCGCCACCGCCTCCACCACCGCTTCCGCGGGATTGTGCTTCGTTGACTGTTATGCTACGGCCGTCAAGGTTCTGACCGTTCATGCCCTCGATGGCATCCCTCATGGCTTGCTCATCCTTGAAGGTCACAAATCCGAACCCCCTTGACCTCCCGGTCTCGCGATCGTTGATGATCTGTTAAAAACACAAACAATTCACACAGAAAATCAGATCCAGACAGATCTACAAACAACACCAATTAATCAAATCCATACATAACAGAGATCTGTTAGACCCAAATTAAATTGAAGGAAAGGAATAAAAGTAAAAAAAAAAAAAGCGATTCGATCGTCGTCTCTTTGAGGGGACCAAAAGAGGAAGACAGAACGTACCGTTCAATAACGAATAATAGTAACAAATAGTAACACAGAGAACAAGAGTAACACAAGATCAGTAACAGAGAGTGAGTGAGGAGGGGAGATTTTTATTCAAGAGCCGAATCGGGTCGGACCCGATCTCCTCGACAAACAGACCTTCGATTCGAGGATCTCGCCAAACTTAGAGAAAGCATCACCAAGAGACTGGTCGGTGGTGGCCCATGCCAATCCACCGACGAAGCATCGGAACTCAACATCAGCGGCGGCCATATCTATAATTATAATTCTAAAAAAACTGAAGTAGGAAAAGGGAAGAGGCGGAGAACTGAAGAACCCGAGGGTGTGAGGAAGTAGCTGGGAGAAGGCGATGAATATATAGAGTGGATGGAGATATTTTCCTGCTAGGGTTGGTTAGGTTAACCACAGGCGCGCCATGATTGATGGGCCTTTTTTGCAAACTCTAGTTACGCTAACGGGCCGCTTTTCCCAACCCAACAACTAAAAGTTACCCTTCACCATGTTCCAATTTTTCCTCTTTCTACTATAATACTCTTCTTTTTTCTCATTTAAAACAGTGAGTTGTTAAACGGAACTTGATTTTACCTCGTGTAACTTATGAAAAATACTTAAATACTCTTAACCCATTAATCCTCCTATATTTCACTCTTTTATATGGTTTCTCTTCTACTTCTTCTTCTTTTCATTTTATCAATTCTTTCAAATTTTTTAATGTACATAAAAAAACATCACTGATTGTTAATAGCTTGCAATGGTACGAAATTGAAGAATATGAGAAATAGGCGAAGTTGAGGAATCGAAGTCCCAGCAAGTAATATTTTTGGACAAATTTTTTTAGAGGGGTATATATATTTTCAATTTGTGGGCCAATTCATGAATGGTTTTTGTTTATTGTTAGACTACTATTTATTGTCTAAATTTATTCTAACAAAGTGTTGATTAGGAGAAGTAGCAAGTGTCCACATTATTTTGAGTTTTCTTAGTTTCATTATGGGTGGTTATTTCATATTTTTGCTATTTTGTATAGCTCCACTAAAATTGTAGTTAATCATGTTTTAAGCTAATAAGAAATAAACAATATTCTAGTGCTCATTTAAAAGTAATTTTTAGTGTTAAAAGTAATGCTCTCTATTTTAGCATTTTTTTACAAGTTGCGGGAAGGAAAAATCAAACTGCGTTTATCAAGGAAAATGAAAAAGAAATAAAAGAGGAAAATGGAAAGATTTAGGGGTATTAAAGTTTTATAAACTGCGCCAAAATAAAAGTAAGTTACATTTAGTAATACTCTTTAAAAATTTATTATACTCTAATTCAAATTCTTAAAGAAATGGTTCCTAAACACAAAATAGATATATATATATATATATAATTATCATGTTTTGATTTTTGGTATTTTTTATTTATTATCATTGTTTGAAAAGATTATGTCACCGTAAAAATTTCAATCAAAAGTATTATCCTTATTAAATCAACTCTTTTAAAGACACCATGATTCGCTTCCAAAACTTTAGAAATCTCAACCCGAGTGATTATTAAATTTGAATATCACTTTTTTTTCTTTTTAGGAAATTTGCAATAAACGAAAGATAGGACAAATTTATCGTTTGTTAATTCATCATTAAGTTAAGAAAGTTGATTGTTCATCTAATTAAGACACAATGATACACTTTTATTCCAATTTATATCAAACTTTGATGTTTCCAATAGTTTTTACAACACATTCTACCCATACAAATAACCCCAAAAAAAAAAAGCAAGGGCCATGGACAAAACATCAGGGAATAGTCGTTTGGTAAAATTGGTTTTGGGTGAAATATGTGTGACGGAACGGGCCGTTGCAATCTTGTTGGAGCTCCGGATGTGTTAAGGAGTAGTGTTGGTTGGACTAACCAGGGTTAAAAAGGACGGGTCAACTGGAGAGATATTCTTAAAGAAAAGATCTTTTTAGTGGGACAGTGGACACCATAATCACAAAAATGCAGAAAAGATATTTTTATTGTTGTGGGGGACCCCACTGGTCACGTGACACCAATTTGCAACCGTGTAGACTGTAGAGAACTTTGTAGAGAAGTGGGAAATATTTTACTCCTTTTGTTGGGACCCCCCAATTTCTTAAAGAAATGGATGACCAGATGCGGATAATACTCCCCCATTCGGCCGTTCCAATCTATCTTTCTTACCAGTTGCATTTTATAACAACTTTTTTTTTCCCCCTTCTCCCTCATAAATATCTACGCACCTAATTTACCATTTTATCCATCCCGATTGTGACCTGTCGGGCTATGTGCTTCTTCAATTAGAGCCACTTGTTTCAAGGTCCATTTCATTAGAAAGACTTGGGTCTTTCACAGATTTTTGGGCTGAAAGATAATGGGCTTTTGACCGGGAAGCTAACAAAATGAAATACTGCCATAATTTTATTGAGTATGATTATTGGTTCATTCCAACTAATAGTGAGAACAGAGAAATGAAAAATTAATTGTACCCTTTGTTCGAAATAATTATTTAGTTTATATTTTTATAATTAATTCAAATTATACTAAGAGTAAAAATCAAAACTAGACAATCATTTTTTAAGTAGATGAAATACTATTTTAGCTCATTTTTCTTAAAACTAATAGTTTAATCTCCTGAGCTAGGTTACCTAAACAGTTAAACAAGCTATATCACAAAGGTAAACATTCGCTGTATAGATCCATAAGTACATCTTGGCACATTGAACTTTTTTATAAATTACTTCAATTTGTGACTTTGGTCTATTCATCCTAGATTGATGTATCTCAACAGCTGTACCAATCATATTTTAATCTTTTGAACCCTACATTTCATTAAGATAGTATCATTACTCATTTAGTAGTCTTCTAAATTGTTTTTTTTCTTACAATAAAAAGAAATGTGCGCCTAACAATTACGTTGCCACATTCCTGTGATATACTATATTTTACTCCCTCTATCCCATAATTATTGTCCAGTTTGGGTTTTCATTTTTAATTTAAATTATGCTAAAAGTGAAATCTCGAACTGGATAATAATTTTGGGAGATAGGGAGTATTATATCATGATCAAGCCGTAATCTAACAATTAACAGTGGAAGCTCAAGCCATTGCAGGCCACCTGGTCCTGGACAGCAAAACATGTCAATCCACTAACGGTTCATGCTTTTTTCTCAAGTCTTATTCTCTCGACACAAAGATGATAGTCGTGGGCCTATTACCTCGTGGGATAAAATATGGGCTTGACTAGTTCACAGTTCGCTGGCCGAAGTGAAGAGTTACCACGAAGAAGTGAAGCAAATGGTAAACTAAACACTAATTGCCCACCAATGTGCTGGCCTGCTCCACTATAAACTCCTTCTCTCTTGGAACAACCCGCACACCCCTCCAAATCTGTTCCGAACTTGTTCTTTTTCTCCGTGTATACCCCCAAAACAATTACTCTCTCTGTGTCTCAAAATTATTGTCCAGTTTGAGATTTTATTTTTAGCATAATTTAAACTAAAAATAAAAACTTAAACTAAACAATAATTATGAGACGGAGGGAGATAACTTACTTTTTTTTTTGAATAATCTTACCGTTTAGTAGCTTGGACAGAAGTGAAATTCCCCTTGTGACAAGCCTGTTTTTGGTAACTAGTATATGGGATTTTCGACAAGTAGTTCCATTGCTGAAAGTTTTACAGTAAAGTTCATACTTCAACGAATAATAGGTGGTAAATCGATCATCATTTAGTTTGATGTGTTCTTTGTGTCTCATAATTATATGAGTATCTCAATAGATTAAATTAGTATTTTTGGCTCGAATGTGAATTACTTTATATGTGATGCATGCACGCCTACAATTGTCTCATTGTTCCTCTATAAAAAAAAAAAAAAAAATTGTTTTTGTAATAGAATTCATCTGCCGTACTTCCCTAACAAGTTACGTTAAAATTAATTTAGTTTATCGGTATCAGCATTAACTCGCTCAAATGAGTGACGTGAGAGAAAATGGGAACGAGATTATTATTTTTTAGCGATGTCAGCATGACTACATGTTTGCCTTTCTTCTCCATACCAGCATCTAACAGCAAGTTTTAGAATCAATTGTTCATTATGATGGAATTTATAAGTTTATTATTGTTTGAATCCGTCAACAAATTCGGCAATAAAGGAGTTATTCTTTAGGATTTTGCTTCTACTTTTGGTCCAATCAACCAATAATCCAGTAAACAAAATAACGAATATCTTAAATTGGGAGCTAATTGAATGATTAAAATGGAGGATATTTTTCTAAAAGTGGTATTCAAATAATTACGATAAAATCAGAAAGAATAAACAGGCAAATTGTGGTTGCGGCTGCGCTGACCGTTGATGCTGTTTCCATCCAATCAGCACAATTTAGTGACAGCGGGGGAGTTAGAATCAAAATTTAATCCTAGTTGGTTCATAGTTGCAAGATAAAAAGAGGTCAACTGATAAGAATCGTCAACTTAAATGATGGAGTTTTTGGATATTAATTTCTTTTTTTGGTACATTTGGATATTTATTTTCTCCACTGTTACCCGTCTCTTTCCATATCAACTTTTTATTGACAAAGTTTGTTGAACATCCATCCTCTAATCATTCCACTTTGATTTTTTCGGTTGCTTTTGCGTGCGTTCAGAGCTAATTTCATAATCGACCTTTTAATTAAGTTTTGTTTTTACAATTTAACCTTTCGTCTTGCATAATAACAAAACACTAATCCTCCTTCCGTCTCAGAAAAATAGTCCAGTTTAAAAATATACAACTTTTTTAATTTGGTCAACACACCAAATATACAATTCATTGTATGCCTTTAACTTTCACTAATGCCCCTCATAGTTATTTCTATAAAAGTTAACTACATATGCATTTATTTTACAACTTGATCAAAATTTTTATCTCATAAAAAATTGACAAGGGATCTTAATGGAAAGATCTCGTTACATAGATTAATTTGATATATAACACATTTTGTAATTATTCATGTATTAAAAGATATAATCATTTGAAAAAATGGAAGAAAACTAAAAAAAAATGAAAATCAAAGTAAGTGTACCTGGTTTTCCTTACCACTACTCTTTTGGATTTTTAAGTTATTTTAATTCAATTAATTTTAATTTTTGTGAAACTGAACTATTTTTGTGAGACAAACGGAGTAGCTCTTTAAATTTATGGTACAATCAGGAGTTACAATTATTATATGCATCTCTTTAACATCATGACTGAATGAATGTTGATGATTTGAAATTGTAATTTGTTTACGTGGAGGTTTAGACTATGTTTGATTATTGGTATTAGTATAATAATAACAATTTCAAGTTTCAAGTTTGTCTAAGATGTATTTATTATGCGAGCACAAATTATTATTTCAAGTTGATATAAAAATAGTTTTTTGCCTGTGAATTTTCTTTGAAATTTGTTTTATCAACACCGCATTTACAACAAACAATATTGGTATGACCGTT